CCCAAAAGACGGACCCGCCCCCGCCCCCGCCCCGCGGTCAGGGGTGGTGGCTTACACATCCACGCCCAGGGTCGGGCACGTGTCAGATGCTCAATAAATGCAACGGACTGAACCAAGAGGTCACTGCAGCTACCTCTGTCCCAAGCCACACAGCCCCTTCCTCCGGCTTCCCGGGCGGGCGGGGCAGCGGGGCAGATGGGCGTGCCGTGTCCGCGGCCCCGCCCCGCCGGCAGTGGGGGCTCACCTCTGCACAGCGGCGTGGAAGAGGTGTAGCAGCGCGGTGCAGTCCTTGCCCCCGTTGAAGCCCACGCACAGCTGGGCGTGGCTGTACCGCACCAGGGCCGCCTCGATGGTGCGCAGGGCGCCCGCCACCTTGTCCCCCAGCGGGGACCCTGCCGGGCGGGCAGGGAAGAGGCCATCAGACAGACATGGGGGAGCCTTCACGGGGCCGTGGGGGGCCGCACTGCTCTGCTTAAAACCCTTCGATGTCCCCTTTGGGTCCCTCGCAAAAGCCCAGATTCCTTCACGCTGCCCGCTCGCCCCTGCTGTGTTGGGCCAGACCTCACCTAGTGTCTTCCCGGGGGGGCCTGGTTTCTCTCCCTTCTCCCAACCCTCTTGCCACTCCCTTCCGGGCCCTCCCTTACCCTCTATGTCCCGCCCCAAGGCTGATGGCCCTCGTCTCTGATGTCTCATGCGCACTGACCTGTTTAAGGTCCAGCCTTCCTGCTAAAGCCTTGGTCCCCGGAGTAGGGCATGCATCTGTCCCACTGAGCTACCCCGACCCCCGGTGCAGCGCTGGTGAGGGCGGGTACGCGGTGGGCATTCCCTGGCGGAATGAATGGACCCACCTGTGGTCTGGCGCCCCGGCCCCTCCCCCAGGGGCCCTACCTGACTCCGCGAGTTTGTACACGGCCTCGCTGGCCTGCTCCACGGTGTTGGGTCTGTAGGGGACCAGTGATCCCTGGGGCAGTCGGGCGGTCAGGTAGGCCAAGCACTCCTCCAGGGGCTCCTCTTCCTCCGCGTCCAGCGTCACCTTCACCTGATAGTAGTTGCTGCTCCAGTCAGGGTAGGAGCCCAGGCCAAGCCTGCGTCCGAAATGGGCCTGGGCCTTGGCCAGGATGGGGGCGATGGAGGCCTCGTCGGCTTCCACATACAGCTCCCGCAGGTGGAACTGGACGGCTGTGTTCTGGAACAGTGCCTTCAGCCCCTCCAGCACCGGCCGCAGCAGCTCTGGAATGCCTGGGAAGAGGTAGACGTTGCGGACGGAGACCAGCGGCAAGCTGAGCGGGCGGCCGGTGCGAGGGTCTGTGCCGTAGTGCAGGCGGGCAGAGGACGGCACCCGCGACAGCTTCTCCCAGCCGTCCTTTCCTAGGGCTTGGATGGCTGCTTCCAGCTCAGGGTGTGGCTTGAGCTCATCCCCAAACGCCTGTGCTACCGCCTCAAAGGTCACATCGTCATGAGTGGGGCCGATGCCCCCTGCCGTGAGGACATGGGTGAAGCGGCTGGAAAAAGAGGCGACCTCAGCCGCGATGGTGGCTACCTCATCGGGTACAACAGAGACTCGGCACACCTGGACCCCCAGGGAGCGCAGTGTCCGGCACAGGAAGTAGGTGTTGGTGTCCTGAGTGTGTCCCTGGGAGATTGGAGATGGGGAGGGTGACAGTCAGTACCGAGGATGAAGGGCAAAGGGGGCAGGGAGGAAGGCTGCATCTGCCCGATGACAGGGCACTCTGCTCTCTGGGGGGGCGCCACCTTAGGCTGCCGAGACGCCTGGCCTGGGCACAAGAGTGGGAAGAGCCACAGGAACGGAGCCAGGGATGATGTGTGCCACCTCGGGCCTCCTCTGCGCTGTGCCCTTGACCTCGTCTATGCTATGGATTCAACGATCGATTCTACGCGGGTGACTCCACTTCCCACCAGCGCGGACAGTCAGCGCCCCGGCCCCGAGCGCCTATCGGGTGCCTTCTCCCCATGCCCGGCCGTTGTCTGGCACCCCAGACACTTTCCACAGCCAGTCAGGCCCTTCCTGCTGTCAACTCTCCTTCTGAAATGTCTCTCCATCTGCTCTCTTCTGTCCCTCATGCCACCGAGCAGGTCCTTGGCACCTTTCACCTGGACAGTTGCGACAGTCCCCTGGCCGGGCCCCAGCTTCCAGTCACAGCACTCTGCCTGGTGCCTCCTGGATACCCTTCCTAATGTGTCACCGAGATTGCATCAGTCTTGGGCTCAGAAGTCATTTGTTGTTTCCAACCATATACAGAATAAAGTTCAAATTCTTTTGCAGAATATTTGAGGCTGTCTGTCTACGGCTGCCCCATCTCCTACTGCTCTACAGAGAATTTAAGGGTAAATGTTACTCTGGAGGAAGAGAATCAGCTGGAAGCACCCCAGCCACTTTCTAGCTGAGCTACCTAGCGCAAGTTTCTCAATCTCTCTGAGCCTCAGTCTCATAATCTATTAAGATTTACATAATAAAAGCACCAAGCTCATAGGGTTGTTGTGCGGATTAGCAAAATCACACGTGTGATGTAATTTTAGCCCGCTGCCAGGCCCCAGTAAGCACTCAAAAAATAGGGATCACTATTACCATTACAAGCCTGGTGCCTACCATGACTCCAGATAAGGCTCCCGCGGTCATTCAGAAGGGATTTCTCTCTTCTAGCATTTTCCTTCTAGCTCGCTTACCCACTCTGCCGAGTGCCTTGGATCATTTTCTAAACGGGTTTGATTTAACTGGTAAATAACACGTGCGCCTGTACCTCCTTTCCATGCTGGCCCCCTGTCATTTACGTAGAGCGCCTGCCAGACTGCCCGGCAAATTGTAGGGACTTTGCCAGACGTTTTTCAGCTGAGTTACTGGAAGGGTGAGGGTCACTTTCCCTCCACCGTATTGGGCTCCTTCCAAGAACCCACTACAGCAAGCGCTCCCCGC